GTAGGTGGTGCTCTGCTGATAGTGTCCTTTGCTGTGCAGAAACTTTGTAATCTTATATAGTGCCATCTAGTGATACTTGAAGCTAGTTCCTGTGCTATCGATACTCTGTTCAGAAAGTCTTGCCTACCCCAGTGTCTTGAAGGGTATTCTCTATGTTTTCATCTAGAAGTCTCAGTGTTTCAGGTTTTAAATTAAGGTCTTTGATCCGCTTTGAGTTGATTTTTGTACAGTGTGAGACATATGAATATAATTTCATTTTTACACAGGTGGATATCCAGTTTTCCTAGCATCATTTGTTGAGTAGGCTATTTTTTCCAGTGAACGTTTTTGCCTCATTTGTCAAGAATTAGGTAAGCATAGCTTTCTCAGTTTATTTCTGTGTCCTCTCTTCTGTCCCGTTGGTGTACTGTTCTAGTTTGCTTTCAGTTGCTGTGACAAAATCAACTTGGGGAGGAAAGCATCGATTTGGCTTACAAGCACGGTCCATCATCAAGGGAAGCCAAACCAGGAACTCAGGGCAGGAACCTGTAGCACAGACCGTAGAGGAAGGCTGCTTACTGGCTTGCTCTCCTGGCCCATGTTCAGCCTGCTTTCCCACACAATACAGGCCCACTTACCCAGGGGTGGCACTGCCCACAGTGAGCTGGGCTCTCCCACATCATAAACAATCAAGAAAATGTTGCACAGACACGACCACAGGCCAGTCCAATGAAGGCAATTCCCCAATTGAGGCCCCCTCTACCCAGGTGTGTCAGGTTGACAACTGAAGCTCTCCAGCACAAGTACCTATCTGCTTCTATGCCAGTACTAAGCTGTCTGTATCACTACAGCTCTCTAGTACAATTTGAGGTTGATCTTTGTGCAACCTCCAACTGTTCCACAAAATAGAAGGCAAAAGAACACTACTAAATTCATTTTATGAAGCCAGGATTATTCTGATACAAAATCGGGTAAAGACAGAACAAGAAAAGAAAACCACTAACCAATTTCTTTGATGAACATAGATGTAAAAATTCTCAACAAAATACTAGGAAACCAAATTCAGGAATACATTAAGAAGATCATACATTATAACCAAATGGGCTTCATTACAGAAAGGCAAAGTTGGTTCAACATATGTAAATCAAAGAATGTAATACACCATATAAACACATTTAAGGACAGAATCCATGTAATCATATCAATTGATGCTAAAAGGTATTCAAAGTTCAACATACCGGTAACTTCATGAGAAAAGTCTTGGAGATCTTATGAATAGATGGAGCAAACCTCAAAAAAGTAAAGACTATGTGTTAATTACTTTTCTATTGCTGTGATAAAACACCATGACCAAGGAAACTTATAGAAGGAAGTGTTTATTTGAACTTAGAGTTCCAGAGGGAGAGTCCATAATGATGGTGGAGGCACGACAGGAGACAGAGCAGAAAGCCGACCCCTCACATTTTCAAGCACACATAGGAAGTTCAAAGAGGGCAACTGGAAGTAGGGCCAGGCTCTGAAGTCTCAAAGCCTGCCCCGGGAGGCTTCCTCCAGCAAGGCCACGCCTCCTAGCCCTCTGCAAATAGCACCACCAACTGGGGACCCAGTACTCAAATTTCTTTATTCAAACCACCACAGGCTAGAAACAACAAACCTATCACCAACATTATATTAAATGGAAACAAACTAAGAGTACTTCCTCTAAAATCAGAAAGGAAATAGATACCCACTGTCCCCTCTTGTTTAATACAGTGCCTGAAGACTTAGCTATAGCCATCGGACAAGAAAAAGAAAGGGGGTAAATGTAGGAAAGGAAGAAATCCAACTGGATTTGTTTGCTCTCTTCTGGTCTCTGCAGGGATTGCACGATGTGGGTACATGCATATGTATGCTGGCAGAACACATACATGTAAAACAAACATAGAAAAATAACTATTTTTTAAAGAAATCCAGGTGAACAGATTCAAAAAACAAAGCTCATTAGTCTCAGCAGCTCATTAGAAAAGTTGTCAGTAGTTGATTGCCTGAGCCAACTATTGCCAGACAACTGTCCTGGCTTATCTGAAATATTGCAGAGGCTCCTGGGATAGGCTTGTTATAAGATGGCAGGCGGGACATAAGGATACTTCAAAGATGCACATGGAAAGCCGGGTCTGAGGCTCAGAAGTATAATCCCAGCTCATTAAGACTGCTGCAAGAGGACTTTAAGTTCAAGGCTTTCCTGGGCTACAGAATGAGGAAGGCACATACGGCTTCTTAGACTCAATGTTTAGGGTCTTGACATAGTGAGGCCATTTTATATTGTGAGCTTTTCCACTTCTACTGGCACAAATGATGCATAGGCAAGAGACAGAACACGGACTGTGGAGTGTCTAGTCTGCCTTGGGTGTGCTGCTTATCCAGAACCTTATGTACTCAATAACCTAGAAGCTCATCAAAGCTTCTTGTCTGAGGTTTATAGAGTTTCATCTCCAGGCTCACTACCCTAGTTCCTAGAGATTGGTGAGTGGAGCCAAAAGCTTCTGCTCCCTAAAAATGTGATCTTTATGGTGACTTGCCCATCTTGAGACTATTAAGAGTCCCATCCGGAGTTCGTTCATTAGCATAAGTTCAGATATGATCCAGAGGTGCTCATATGAACAATAAAAGACCGTCCTATGCTAAGAGGAAATGCTAAGAGGTTCAGGGACTCCATCATAGGAACTAGGCCAAAGGCCATGGGAGAATTATTTTCCCGCCTCTTTTCCTCACTCTAAATACATTTACACAGATGTGGGAGAAAAATTTTTTCTGGGACCAACTGAGGTTCCATCATCAGAGGCCTATAAGTAAGTACATAGATTAATAGAAGAAATGAGGCTTCAGGTAGGCTTGGCCCACTATATAACCGTCTGGGAATATCTCATGGTTTCATTTTGAGGGACATTTTGCTTAAGTCAGATAAGGGAAGTTCAGATAAAGTTCCTCCCTCTACTATCATTCAATTTTCAGTTCAGGCTTGCATACAGACAGTTCCTTCTTTATATCTCTCTGAATTAAATATACATACAGACAGTTCCTTCTCTGTATCTCTCTGAATTAAATATCCAAAGGATGTTATCAGAATCCTGGTCTTGAGGCTTGACTCTGATAGTTCAACAAATCAGGTCTTAACACTGAAACTCAAAACCAACAGAAAAGGCAGTGGTGGAAGATCTTTAAATCAGAATTGCTGGATGGGGAAGACAAAGGACCTGTTATCTTTAACCTGAATTTCCGGGTTAGCAAGGGCTCTAAGATTATACTGGGAGGGGGCAGGAAGTATGCACATTAAAGTACTTTTCATCAAACTGTGGTCTGGCCAACCTTTCTTTCAGGTCTATCAAGGGGCCTTATTGTAGTAAGAGAATCATTGCCTGAACTAGTGAGATGACTCAGCAGGTAAACATGCTTACCCTACAAACCTAACAATCTGAGTTTGATCCATGGAATCCAGGATGGAAGGGAAGAACCCACTCCTGAAAATTGTTCTCTGATTTCTATGCAAGTGCTGTAACATGCTCCTGTGCGTGCACACAACTCAAAAATCAACAACAACAATAATAATAAATTAAATTTTTTAAATGTAAGGGGCTGGAGAAATGGCAGTTAAGAGCACTGGCTACCCTTGCAGAGGACCTGGGTTTGATTCCCATCACCACCTGGCAGCCAACAACCATCTGTAACTCTAGTTCCAGGGGATCCAATGCCTCTTCTGACCTCTGTGGCATTGCATGACACAAGTGCACTTACCTACACGTAGACAATACACACATACACATAAAATAAAAATAATAAACAAAATATTAAAAAATTGCAAAGGTTATGATAGGTAAAAATGTTGGGAGAGAGTGTGCGGGCACGGATGGATGGAGGAGGCACCAAGGCACAGATAGAATTCTCAGCGGGATACAGCTTTATTTTGCACAGGACACATTTCCCTTGGGGAAGGGAAAGATGTCAGGGAAGAATGTCAGGGAAGGGAAAGATGTCAGGGAAGGGAAAGATGTCAGGGAAGGGAAAGATGTCAGGGAAGGGCAGGGAAGGGAAAGATGTCAGCCTACAAGCTGTGAGCTGGGACTTTATATATGGGGGCTTTAGGGTGTGGAAGGGGGAATGTTTGGGGGAGAAATCATGGAGGGGGAAGCAGGTAGGATTAGGGTGTGGAAGTGTTTACTTTTTCCCTCTTAAGATGAGAGAAAAACAGCTTCTAAAATCTCTGGTTATCAGGTAGAATCTGCTTATCTTATCTTTGGAGGTCAAAGGAAAGGCAGGCTGCTTCTCAGCAGAGTTTGTTTCCTTCGACTTCAAAGGTCAAGGTGCTTATCAGCTCAGTTCCCTTTTTCGGGCTCCAAAGTCTGTAGGTCCCTGTTGGGGAGGGGGGAAGCTGCTGCTGTTTGGAACCCTAACAGGTTAGCCAGTAGAAGTAACCATGAAAGACTGATGACCTGAGTTCTGCACCCTACCCAGAGTGGAAAGAAAGACTGAACTTCCAAGAGCTGACTGTACCTGAACAGTATACACTCACATTCACGCACACACACCATCACTACACACACACACACACACACACACACACACGTAAAATTTTAAAAAGTCACTGTTCTCTGTTTATCCGTCAGACCTGTTGTTTTTGGAATTCGCACTGACCACAGAAGAGAACAGCCCAGAAAGGACAAATCAGAGTGCCAGGAAAGCCAGCCTTTTTGTCCTAGTTTCAGTTACCATTGGGCGGATGTGGTCACAAAAAACAATCATACTAAATTACACAGACTCTGATTTTTGCCAAGTGATTTTTAGTACAGGCAGCCTCCAAGTTCCTGTCACCAGTCTTGCCTGTGAGAAGGATCACTTCCTGTGGAGTAAAGGAGACAAACTTTCTGTGTTGTGGTGATGGATCTGCTGAGCATCTGTCTTCAACCAGAACTCTGAGGGGCTTGCGTGCTTAGAGACTAGAAAAGAACTGGAAGAGGACAGGAAAAAAGGAAGTCTTGACACAGTCATTTCTATAGATGGTCCTTTATTATAAAGAAAACAAGAATAATCTTTCAGAAGAGTAAATGAATCTTCATGGTCAATTACATTTTTAATGCCTTGACTTACTAAGGTGATTCAAAAGTTTGGGAAGAAAAAGAAAGCATTTGTAAAATATTTTTTAAAGAATCTTAGTAGTCATAAACCATAATAATTCCAAATAACTCAGAGCTCTCATTTTGCCAGTATACTCCTTCCAAATTCTTAATGGTTTCTTAGTGGCTGACATTAGGGGATAACAAAAAACAGACACTTCTGAAACAGTTCTCATGACGGGAAGACCCCATGTGAGTGGCCAGTTCAAGTGGGCTTTTGTCTCGGGTCTTCAAATCCCTTGACTTTGAACTTCTATGTAAAGCAACAGAATCAACATCAGAGAGTTGTCGGGTGTTAAAATAAGACAACTCAGACAAAGGCACTTCAAAATGGTTGAAATACTATTTAAATACATGTGATGTATAAGTTCCGGAGGCTAGAATCTGTGAAAGCTGAGCTGGCCAGTACTATGAGAAGCTTATCATAGAAACCCCAGACTCATTATAGGTTTGTCTCCATCTCTCTTGGATGTGATGCATTTAATACAATGGGTTATATTGGGTATATTGGAGCATAAGAAATGAGCAAAGGAGACATTGCCTGAGACCTTTCGAATACACTGTGCGTCGTTATTCTCAGAGATTTAGAAACCAATCACTGGCTGTAGTAGCTGCAGGATGGCATCTATCTGTCAAAGTGAACTGGCACCTCTGGGTTACCGTGGCAGGCAATGACTACCCGCCTAGTGCTGGCGGTGGCCCGGTATCTACAGTTGGGAGCTCTGGAACTCCCTGTCTCTCTGCAGTCTGTGATCTTCACTACACCCTCATGACAGTTCATCTCCCCATTCTTGCACTGGATATTGGCAGTGAGGCAGATATTACGAATACTCCAGATGTCTTCGTGGATGAAGGTGTTGACGGGTTTACATCGATTGGAGGAAGTCATCTTCCGTCTCTGCATCATTACATTGCAGTAGTTGTCATTGCCGCCTGTCTCCTGAGGGTCCACGTGTTGGCGCAGGAACCGTTTGTACATGAGGTCCTGGCCATAGCAGGGCTGTACCAGCCCTAGCCCCAGCAGGGTCAGCAGCAAGAGCTGTAGCAAGGACTGGATCCTCTGTAGAGCCATCACTGCCAAGAAGGTGCCTAAAAGGAAAGCAAAGAACAGGAGAGAGGATGTTAGCACTGGGCTTTGGAGACGGGTTTGAGAAGGCTGGGTGACATCTCATCATCATCTTTCGCCTTCTTTCTCACCACCTCCCCTTCTTGCTTGTTCTCATCTTTTGCTATCCCTGAGTAGTTTGTCCACATGTACTTCTTTGAAAGTAAAATCCTTTCTCTTGCTAACAAGCAAGTCATCTAGCCAGTACAGTAAGTCAAGGCCAAATTATCTGTAGCCGGTTGTCCAGAGTTTGCGGTTAGATTACAAAACAAGGAAAGGCAAAATGACACAAAACTGGGGTTGTTGGTTTCATAAGATAATTATCTAGTGTGATTTGGGGAGTGTTTGGTTCCCTGGAAACTCTGATTCTTAACAGTTTGGTTAGATTCAGGTCAAAGAAAGAACTGCTTTAATGCCCTACATCTAGGAAATAAGGGAGGTAAAGGAAGATAAAGCTCAGTCTAGCTTTCCTCTCACGGGCTATTCTGCTAGGGGAGTAAAATCAAGTCTTTTGGAAATCTTTTTACTCTTTTGCTAAAAAATAAACAAACAGGGTAATAAAAACATAACCAGAATTACTTTTCTGAAGAAATGGCTTCAGGCACAACTAGCCAAATGCTGCCATGTGGCAGTCAGTCCTAGGAACGTCTGACAGGTTGACAGTAGAGCAACTAAAAATCATCCCTGCCGGGCGTGGTGGCGCAAGCCTTAAATCCCAGCACTCAGGAGGCAGAGGCAGGCGGATCTCTGTGAGTTCAAGGCCAGCCTGGTCTACACAGTGAGTTCCAGGACAGCTGGGGCTACAGGGAGACCCTGTCTCAAAAAGACCAAAGAAAAAAATCATCCCTGACACCAGAGAAGTGAGCGACCCAAGGACACTTTATCGAGAGTCAAACAGACCCATCACTGCATGTGCATGAACTGGTTTGAAGTGGGTACCACTGTGCTTCTTTTCAAAGAGGCAGAAGATTCCACTTGTGGCTGAAATGGCTTATGAGGCACCTGTGTACTTTGTTCATCCTCAAGCCTATGCTTTGATTAGTGACAATGATCAGTATCAAACAGTAGTATCGCTCTTTTAAACCTTCCCCCTATATTTGCAGCTACCTTTTGTCTTTGCACATAAAGACATAACTCTCTATCCCTGTGCCTATGCTATAGATACAAGGTACCCTCCTTACAGGGTTTGGTAGCATTGGGTCCATTGAGGATGGACCCACCTCCTGTTCCCCTTCATCAGCTTGGCACTCCTTAGTCCTCCTGGTCAAAAGAATGGACTGTCTAGCTCTGGGTGGAAACATTCTGTTTGTTTTGAGACAGGGTTTCCCTCTAGTCCCAGCTGGCCTGAAGCTCACTAGAAGACCAGGCTGACCTGAATCTCACAGAGATCTACCTGCCTCTGCCTCCCACTGGGATTAAAGGTGTGTGCCACCACACCCAGCTTCAGATGTGGCATTCTGATCTGCTCCGAAGATTGGAATATTACATACTATTGTATTTGTTTCCTCCTTTAAGAGTTAATCCTGCTAGCTAGGCCTGTCAATCACAAGGCTGAGAGAGCACCCCTCAGGAATGCTAATTCACCTAATGTTATGCCAAGGATTAATAATGAGATAACAATGTAGTATCCTTCCTCAGTAAAGCTGCTTACAGAGCCTCCTCTGTGCAGCCTGCCAGCTCTGGGTTACTCAGAAGAGCCTAAGCTCTCTTTCTCTTCATTCTATTGCTTTTCTTTCAGATACTGGCCAGAATCTTAAACACGCTTTCCCAGAACTCTGTGCTCTCTGAAACTGCCCATCTTCCCCCAACAACAGCTGCTTGCTGAACTCCACTGCTGAACTTTCCTGCTTTCTTCGACTTTAACTCAAAAGGCATGATTTTTCTTTTTCTCTTCTGTTCCCAGCAGCTGCCAAGATTTACAGCTGGCCTGCCCCTAAACTCTAATAAAATTACCCTCAAGGCTTCTTTTAAGTCTGTTTCTAAGTTCTTTGATTAAGGAGACTAAGAACCCAAAAGTGCAAACACCAGTTTTCCAATAATACTACGTCGGGTAGAGGGAAGTTAAGTGGTTCTGGGAGGCGTGGAGGCACAGAGAGCAATGCTTGACTTACTAGTTAGCTTCAACTGCCAATAAACTAGCAACTGTTTTCTAACTAAACTATCTAGGCATCTATTCATAGAAATAAAGTAACAGGACACCAACCACTGAACCTGCAGGTTGATTAATGTACTTTTTAAAAAAATTTTTATTTATCTTCATTTCATGTGTATGAGTGTATTGCCCACATGTGTGTAAGTGCACCTGTGTCATGCAGTGCCTATGGAGGTCAGAAGAGGGTGTTGGATCCCCCGGAACTGGAGTTATGAATGGTTGTTAGCTGCCATGTGGGTGCTGGGAACCAAACCCAGGTCCTCTACAAGAGAGTGCTCTTAACTACTGAGCCATCTCTCCAGCCCTGATTAGTGCATTCAACAGAACACCTAGTAAGCTATGTTTGTATGTAGCTTTTATATTCAAAAACAAATCTAGCTGAAGAAGAATGTAAAATAAGCTTGGGATCATTCTATAATTTCTCTAAGACCCCACAGTTATCAGATATTACTTAATAAAGTGAAAAAATAAAGATACAATATGTAAAGTAGCCAAATTTTCGAACTTTAAAATAGTTATGACAAATTAGTATCTTGAGAGTATACCATTTGAATCAGCAACAAAATTATTCCCTGCTTAAGACAAGAGGAAGCCATTCTAATTGGCCTTGGTAGTCTTGAGGCAGGAAAAAAAGAAAAAGCCAGGGGAAATTGGAGAGTCATAAGCAGGGAAAGGAACCCCTCACTCAGAAGTCTCGTTAAGCCTCCCCCCAGCAGAGAAGCAATAATCCTGTCACAATTAGCAACTGCTTAAACCTTCTTCCCTCCCCAGCTAAACTTGGGATTTTCTAAGACTCCGACCAGAAACCATAATTACAGGAAAAGAGTATGTACTAAAGCCCTTGTGTAATCCTAGTGGTTCTTAGCTTTATTTTATCAGATTATAATCCCACTCAAGGCAGCTCCGTATAAGATATGTGAGCCACCCTATAATCTTACTTATCAAAAGAGAGAGAAAAGGGCTGGAGTAGTTTTCCTAGCAACCTTAAAAGACATAAGTTGAGAACCACCAAAATGGTACAGCCGGCTAAAGCTAAGATAATTATTCACGACTCCCCCTTGGGCATGTCTTACTTTCTGTGACTGTCCATGAGAAACCCACACCCATACTTGGGTATGTCTGTCCTTCCTTCTGAGGGCTTCTCTCCTAACCTTTATGCTAAAAGCCTATATTAATATTATCTTTAATAAAATTTCCAATTCTGTTTCACCCTGGTTAACCCTGAAATTCTTTTCTGTGTGGAAACCATGAATCTGCTTTGACCAGAGTTGAGGTCCCTAACATGTTACGGGGATTCCTTGGGTTTCTGAGGATGACAGCATGGGGCTGTGTCTCCTCACCACTGGCAGTCTAATGCTGGTGTGTGTGTGTGTGTGTGTGTGAGAGAGAGAGAGAGAGAGAGAGAGAGAGAGAGAGAGGATATGTTGGTTCTTGGTCCTAAACTCTTATTTGCAAATATTGGCCTATTAGACAAAGTGCCTATTTTGAAAAATTTTGTTAGCGATTAAGTCCTGACTGTAAATCAGCTTATCATCCTTACCTACACAGAAAGCTACAATCGACCCTCCCATTGACTGCCAGATAAGGAAGAAAGATTCCTGTTCTATCCCATCCCCTCAGGAAACAGTTGAGTAGAGAAAATGGAGAAAGATGAATCTACTAAGAACCAGTGATTCTACCAGACTGATTCTTACTGGTTTTAGAGACATTTTTATTTATTAAATGTGCTGTAAAACAGAAGACAAGATTTTCGGGTAGCTCATTTTCTGGGACCCTGACAATAAATGTCATGTGGGGTGTAGCGGGTAAACAAGAAAAGTAGACCCAGTTCTGGGCCATGGCTTCTGGCTATGGATGAAAAAAAGACTCGTCAAAGTGGACAGGCAAACTATTTTCACAGGCAATAACTATGTGCCTGAACCCTGCCGTGGCGCGGTACCGGCACGGAGGCCGGGGAGAACCTCCTGAATGCTTGCAAGTGGTGACCTGGAGAGGAGACTTGCTTATTCTTAAGTTTTCTCGGTAAGGGTTTCCATTCTTGTTTCCACAGATGGCCTTGATGCTGCCCTTGTTGCCATGAACAAAGGTGTTGGTGTCTTTGCAGGGTGAGGTCAGGCCCCGTCTCTCCATCATGCTGTCACAGTATCTGTCATTCCGGCCCTTTGGTTTGGCATCATAATGCTGAGTCAGGAAGTGTCTGTATCTGGAGTTATCCTGAGCCAGGGTTGGTGGGGTCACAACCTGACCCAGCATGAAGACCAACAACAACGAGCCCAGGCACATCGCCATCTCTTCCAACAGATACTCCTGCCAAGGGCAAAAGGAGGCGTGGTAGGGCCGGGGAACCACATCCAACAGGCTAAATGGATGGAGACTTTTGTCCCTGATAGGGTATCATGAATCAGTTATCCTCAGTCATCTAAGTCCATCTTTGCTTTGGCCTTCCTCATTAACTCCATGCCCTAGTGGTCTTTCTCTGCCCCTTAGGATCACTGAGTAGTTACCTTGCTATCAGTCATAGCATAACAAGATCTATTCCTATTCTGAATTCATTTATTGCTAACTTACTAGCAAACATTGCATAAGTCCCAACTGGGTTCGGGAACTGCGCTAGATCCTAGGACACAAAGACTATGAAGCTATACCAGGGCCAGGTGCAGTGGTCTGTGCCTGTAAGTCCTAGCTATTTGGGAGGCTGAGGTAGGGGTTTACTTGAGCCCAGGAGTTCCACACCAGCTTGGGCAACATAACTCAGAAAAAAAAAAAAAAGGAAAAAGAGGAAAAATGAAAAAAGAGAGCATGAAATGAGAGCTGTACTTGTAATTAGCATCTGACATCCATCCACCTAGTCTGTCTCAGACCACAGACAAACCTGGTACACTGCTAACGAGTATCAAAGTCTAAGCTAAGAAATTTTTTGGTCATTTTACAGTACTGAAATAAAATACAGCTAAAAAGTTTTTGTTAAGCACAGATTGTAATTTGTCATAGAACCGAATGACAGTGTGTTTGGGGATTTACTGAGAAAGTAGTGCATAAATGCAGAAGGGACAGGCACTCCTAAAGAATAACAAGTATGGGCTGGAGAGAGACTCAGCAGTTAGGAGCACTGACTGCTCTTGCAGAGGACCAAGGTTCGATTCCCAGCACTCACATGGCGCCTAGTAATCATCCAAAACTCCAGTTCCAGGGGATCTGACGCCTTTTTCTTGACCTCCGAAGGCATTGCATGACAGGGGTGCATTTACAGACATGCAGGCAGTACACTCATACACATAAAATAAAAATAATAAATAGAATATATATATTTATATTTATATATATTTAAATAGCAAGTATTCAAAGCCAGCGGCTGCTGGGCTGCCAGCTCACACTTGTCGAGTTCTTCACACTCATACTGCGCTTTTTCTATTGCCTGGGTGTGCTTTCTCTTTCTAGCTTTTGGGAAAATGTTGTCAAAGTTTTGTTGACATGATCAATTAAGACTCCTGCTTTGTAATGGTCACATACTGGCTTCTAATGGCTCCTTGTAGAATTTTAGGTTCTCAAGAGTGAAAGAGAACCTTAAAAGCCACACAGACTTCTATCTGGTGCCAGAATCCCAGTGTTCAAAAATTAGGAAGCGCTGTTCAGGATGGTGCATGCCTGTGGGTTGCTTAGTGAGATCCAGGCAACCGTGACAAACAAAAACCTAAGAACAAGAGCTGGCAATACCCAAGGGTGTCAGTGGGTGGTGGTGGTGGGCAGGAGTGTTGCCACTCCCCAGGACAGGTGGTTCTTGTGGAAGTACCAACCTGTACCTGGTACCTTGTAGAAGGGTACAGGCTGTGGGGGTTCTGAGCTGGTAGGACTGTTTCAAGTATCTAAACTTGGTGGGCTTTAGAGATTTAGACTAAGAACACCCCTAGATGCAAGTGCTAAAGCAAAAGCCACAAAGTGGAGAGTGAGCATTAAGAACCTCCCAAAACAAAGATTTGTGTCAGTTTTCACAGCTGCTAATCCAAGCACATCATTACTCATGTGATCTTGGGCAAACAACTGACTACTTACCTGTCAGTATTTCCTGCTACTGCATAACCTACAGCCGAGCGAGGCCCGTATTATTCATCTCAAATCACAGTGATTGCTTCATAGGAAATGCACTCTCAGTATTGTTCTACTGATTAACTTCATTGTTTTTTCTCCAGGCCTTAGCTTTATCATCCATAAAATGAGAAGGTTGCTAGCTTTGGAAGTCTGAGAGTCCATGATTCTCAGTAAGCATAATACAGCCTTTACAAGGCTCAGTAGCAAAATCCAGTGACAATGAGGCTATGGAGTCAAATCTCTGTAAATTTAGTTGGTGGTACAAGGTACCAACTGGAGGAAACATGATCAGGTGGCCTGTGGCTCAGCCTCCCCGAAATGCATCTTCCCTTAAGGCTAGGTGTGTAAGCCAAGCCCACATGCCATCAATAGGCTAACACTGCACAGGGCTTTTTGCTCCTAAAAAGCCACTTGTTCTTTCGGATTACTTGTTCCTAATTTGCAGAATTTGCACATTAATTTTTATCAAATCATCTAAGGTTTCCCAGAGTTATTGTAATCTCAATTCTCTAAACTATCCAGAAATCAAATTCTAGCCAGCACACCATAACCACCTATGTCTTTCTAGTACCTTCTCCCTCACAATTTCCTCACTCACATATTTAACTGTAAATCCCCCACCCCCAAATCAGGAAAAGTATCATTATGAAAAAACAACTGAGAGTCAGATTATTTATCGTACAGATGTGAATCTGCCCAGGCAAAGGCTGCTGAGCCTCACTCATATACGCAAATGCACGCGTATCAGTCAGATTTCTGTGAGTGGAAACTGTCCAAGCTCTTCTGTAATCTCTTTTTATCCTTTCTTAAACTAACCCTGTAGTCTTCACAAGACTCCATCCCACCCCCCAACCCCTGCACCACACTGACAGTGTTTTATATTCAAGAAATGCATCAAACTTCATGCAGCTGGTTTCTGGGTTCACACCCTCAACCTAAGCACCTGGGAGGCAGAAGTAGGTGGATCTCTGAGTTCTAGGACAACCTAGTCTACACAGCCACTTACAGGTCAGTGGGGGCTACATAGTGAGGCTGTCTAAAACAAAACAAAAATAACCAAAACAAAAAACCTCCATGTACAAGGGGGTTTGCAGCTTATGTAATCGTTATTTTCATATGCATACTCTGACATCTTTGGTATCTAGAGCAATACCCCCAGAGGGAAACTAACACCCAATCATTTACTTCTTTCCTTCTTCCCTCAACCTGTCAATGTACCTTCTTTCGATCTTGGGATATGTTCCACTTTGTTTTCAAAGAACATCCAAAAATTTGCTAAGGAAAGAAATTAGTAGTGAAGATCAGAAGGAAAGAGAGGAAAGAGCTGAACGCTTACCGCTTGTTTCTTGTCAAGCTACACATGCCTGGAATGGAAGGTGGCCTACTTCCAACACCTGGACACCCAGCAGCAAACAGCTTCCCGGGCCATTCGCTGGGGCTGTTAGCACATCCCTCCTAAACCTCCATTCCCTCGCTCTATCCCAAAAGAAACCTGTTTTCATTGTAAACGTTAGACTCTCAGTATTTTCTTTATAATGCAGGAGCTTGGTCCCAGAGGGGCAAGTAGCTTCACTGAAATAAATAAATGGCTAGAAAGACAGATTAAAAACAAAGAGAACCACAGAGTGTCCAGGAGGAAAACTCTTACAAGTCTGCCGGCTTCTCTCCCACTGGAGCCAGATCCAGGCACTTGGTCCTAGGGGCAGGTCCAGCTGTGGGAACTCGGAGTCTTCTCTTGGTCTGGTTATATATAGTGCTCATGTGAAGGGGTGGGAGAACACGTAAACCCAGGACACTGCTCTTGGACAAACAAGGAGAGTCATTCACCTTTTCCCTGGGTATGACTGGGTCAAACATTAAGCCATCTGGTAGATTAGAAATGTGTTCTAGGAGGATAAAAGGTTGATAAACGTGGCATTTGTTCCAAAGTTGCCTCTTCCTGATGTCAGTGATTCTTATTCTTGCTCATGACAGGACTGAGGTTTCATTGTTCACATTTAATAGAATGGTCCCAAAACACACTATCCCTGATCTAAAGAACTACTCTGGAAGAAGCCTGTGGAGCATGAGCTAGTCTTCAAACAGGATGTTTCTTCACCATTTCAACTTATCCACATAATTTGGTTTCATGAAAGGATGCTAAGCAGGTTATTCCATAGATTTCACAGAACCAGGAGAGTACTTCTAAAGGGACAATGTGGCAGCTATTAGTGGCTGGCGATCTACCTCTACGAATCCCAGAAGTATCTTTGCTACATTTTCTGGGGCTCTCCTTCATCTTGATCTGTCCACAGGAAACTAAGCCTGAGTGCCCCATCTTCCGTTCCTTGAATCACAATTACAAAATTATCTTCACCATCATACAACATTACTATAGCAGTCACTCAGAAAGTGGACCCACTGGTTACATAGAAAGAGTGGGACAAAGTCACCGGGATCGTCACCTAGATCTTCAAATATTAGGCCACTACAGGATGCCACATAGCTCTACATTGCCAGCAGCTACCTACATGGATGCTGGATTTAGAAAAGTGCTATAATTTTTTTTTTTTTGCTTTTTGAGACAGGGTCTCCCTGTAGCCCCAGCTGTCCTGGAACTCACTATGTACAGCAGGTTGGCCTTGAACTATAGAGATCTGCCTGTCTCTGCTTCCCGAATGCTGGGATTAAAGGCGTGTGCCACCACGCCCAGCAAAAAGTGCTATAATTTTAAAAAACCTTCAATCCAGTGTTGCCGTCCATCCATCTCCAAGTATTCAACCTGCCCGCATTTGAGAAGGTGGCAGCTAAGGGCAGGCAACTGTCCTTGAAATCATCATCACATCATCATAATTATAATATTCAATGTTAGCTTCCGTTTAGGAAGTGCTCATATACTTGACATCATCTAATCATTACCAGGACAATAGGAAGTAGGCATTATGTACGCTTGCTTTGCTTATGAGGAAACTCCAAGATCAAGCAGTAGATGAGCCCATAGAGTCAGACTTTAGGCCCTTCAATAGCAAGGGGACATCTCATCTTTCCTGACTCAGTTTAGCAACACACCCTCTTAGTCCTGGCTAAACTTCCCCATCCCATCCCATCCCAAAGGAGCTACCTACATCTTTATTGGTAGGCTCACTGTGCCTAGTACAGACCCCAGTAAGAAAAACCTGGAGCAGGGCTCCCAAGCTGTTGGCTTCAGTTGCATTGGTTGGCTCTCAGATATCTCCAGGTGTATTTGAAAAGCTGGTGAGCTGGCTTAAAGGAAGCCTACTCCTGTAAGAGTCTGTGATGCCCATGGGAAAGGAGTCATCCTAATAGACAAACACGTTGAAAAGCAGGAGAAAAATATAAAAGTCATGGAGCAGGAGCAAAGTGGATGGAGATGTACATTGTGTCATCACATCCCCTTCTGAACCAGCTACCTGGAGCTAGGAAGAGGTTACTGAGGGGGAGGGGAACTGAATAAAAATGAAGGTTGTTTTGTGAAATCTTTCTAACACTCAGCATACAGCAAGGTGGTAAAGAAGTTTACTACAATTATTATATGTGGGCAATACTGTAATTTTTTTTTTTTTTTTTTTTTTTGAGACAGGGTTTCCCTGTAGCCCCAGCCGGCCTGGAAGCCACTATGTAGACCAGGCTGGCCTTGATCTCACAAAAATGCACCCTGCCTCTGCCTCCCAAGTGCTGGGACTAAAAGTTTACACTACCACACCTGCCCAGCAACATTGTGATAGTTCAGTTGTTTATCAACAACTAGATTTTGCTCCATCAAATGATACAGACATATAGACACTGATAATTGAAACTGGGCTTCTTTCCTTAAAACAACAAGAAGGCCAGGCATGGTGGCGCACACCTTTAATCCCAGCACTTGGGAGGCAGAGGCAGGCGGATCTCTGTGAGTTCAAAGCCAGCTTGGTCTACATAGTGAGTTCCAGGACAGCTGGGGCTACAGGGAGACCCTGTCTCAAAAAGCAAACAAACAGAACAAAACAACAACAACAACAAAAGGCTTAAAGGTTGTTGGTGAGGGAATTGAGGTGGGGGCAGGGACAAAGTACCTTTCCCCAAATCGGAACCTGCTGGGAATATTTAGAGGTAATTCTGGGCACAAGAACTAGAGCATCCATCCATAGTACTTGCTCTATCAGAAAGGAAGAAAACACAGTGAATGTCATCTTCAGACACTCTCAGCAGGGATGGCCCTATGTGACAGGAAGCGAGCCCTGGGGAGCTGGAGCAGGAAAGGAGCAAACAGGCAGCCTCCCAGGACTGACTTGCAGTCCACACCCTGGACTTCGGGAATGCTCAGGGAAGGCAGTCACTGATCTAGGCTTCTCACAGCATGGGAGGGAAGGATCTGGCCTTACTTCAGGTTGGCGGAACTGAGGAAACAGGTCATTAACTACCACTGCTTTGAAAGTTAAGTTGATCTCTTTGTCTCACCACTAGATGGACCCTTTTGAGAGAAGAATAATTGCTTACTCGTTTCTATACTCTGAGTGACAGACACTTAAACCCCAAATTCTTTTTATAATTCTTCATTGCTTCTGGGGGTCAATCAACCGATCTAGAGCCTCCAATCATGCAGCTTCTCCCAGCTTCTCTAGAGGGCTTAGAGATGCAATATAGTGGCTGTTATCAAACAAGGAAGGGCTGATTCCCAGGCAGAGCAGGAGGCTCAAGAGGTTCCCAGGGAAAGGCTGCTTCATGCTTTGTGATTGTTCCTGAAATCCTACTGATTTGCTTCCCCTTTGAGGTACCGCTCCTAACTCCAGTGTAAGTGTACAAACTGAGGCTTGAGAAGAAAGAGTGGACAGCCTGGGAAACTCAGAAAAGAACAGACTTCCACATTCCCCAGTTTTGTTGAGGCACAGCCCTGCTTGAAATCTGCTTTGGTTCTTGTCCCTTTCCTTCCCCAGCACTCCTGACAGAACCCTGAGCTAAAAGGAAAGGAAGATGTCGGTATTGTGAGACTAAGCAAACTGCCCTAACACACTTTCCATCCGCACTGGTGTCTCCACAAAGGAAGGTGTGTGCACACTTCTGACCAGTACTCCCACACCAGTGCCAAACTCGGTTCTGCCAAATGCCAAAGTTCAAAGTGTTTCAGACACGCAGAGAAATAACAGGACTTGGGGCCTTCAGGGTGAGACCTCTACTGGTATCCCACAAAGCACCCAAATTCTGTTTCTTTTGATGGACAGAAATACCATGTACACTGGTACCTATTTTAAATTAATCACATATCACTTTTTAAACAGATGTGGAAGAACTGAGTTCTAAAGAGTCACCAATCACTCATTTGTTAGAGAAGGGAGCGTCAGGCCCATTGCAACACCCGATTGCTTCAGCAGTCTACAGTGGAAGCAGCAGCCAACCCCCACAGCCAGAGGTGACTTATTAACGTGGCCCTTTTCTGGTAAACAGTCACAAAGCAAAGACACCCCACCCTAACCCACACATGCAGACACACAGCCTATTGGCCCAAAGTGCCAACTCGCCCAAACAGAACAGGCTCTGTTTTTAGAGTTGTGTAATAGTGCTGTGGAGCGGCCCAAAGCCCCTCAGCAGTTGGTCCCTTCCCTGGGCCTTCTTCGCCTGACCACTTGGAGAATTCACAACCTGCTCACCTCACTGACAAAACGCTAGTTCATTATTTTTTTTTCAGCTTGGCACAAGGAACTCATGCTGAAACAGAAAAAACACTTTTTCAGCAACAGAAGTAATGGCCGTAGAAGGAAAGCCCACGGGAGGATCACACCTTGAGGAAGCAGGACACCATTGACTGAGGGACCATGGGAACAAATCTAACAGCATCCCTAAATCTCCAAACAGATATAATCAAGCATTCACCTTCCAACAAACTGAACTTTGTGCCTATTCCCCATTCCCAGCCAGTCTGAGAATAACTGTTTGGAGTGCTCTTTGCACAAATAGGTTAAATGAAAAAATCCCAAGACACATTCTGCCAGCCTGCACTGGCCACTTTGTAGTCCATGACTGAGTCACAGGGGCAGAGATTCCAGCAAAGGCGTCATAAGGGGGTACAGGGAAAAGCAGAGCAGCCTGTGCCCCAGCAAAGCTAAAACTCTTGAACTGATGAGATCTTCCCTGTTTATGTAACCGGGTTTCTGACTACTGCCAAAGTGGGTCCTCTTTTTCTAGGTCCGTTTACCTCACCTTCCCCGTCAAACTGGGTTCAGCTCCACATATCTGAGAGCCTTTTATCTAAGAGTCATGTTACTAACATCCCACCCCTCCATTCACACAAAATGAGAACAGGAGGTCCCCTGTGAGTCTGTCAGCCTTCTGCACCACACAACTTTTATATTGCACTGACGTCATTACAAGAAAACCAAAGCTAATTTTAAGTGCTGTTGAAAATTGTTTTAAATAAACATTGAAAAATGTTGTTTAAAATCAACATCAAATATTTCCATAAATCCTCCAAACAAAATATTTTACTTCCTTTTTTTTTTTTTTTTTAAGCTAAGTAGCGTTTTTTGTGTCTCTATAACTAACTACACCATAGCTGTTGATAAAGTTTTTC